GGGACAGATGCAATTTGGGATGACCAGTGTTGCCAACTGCTACTCTCCTTTTTCTATTCTTCCCGAATGTTTGCACCGATAACGAACCGTGTTCCGTATCGTTAGGTTAGGTTCTATTACGTAAGCTGTGGCGGCCTTGCATTATAGCATCATAACCATTCATCCTGTCCGCTCACCTGCAATGCGCCACAGTGTTTGTCCCGAGCGATACGTGAGCCACATTATAGTGACTAAATTCTGGAAATTACCACCGTGGGCTTGGTGTCGATGACTCTTGAATGCCTCCAACTTTCCTTTCAAATTTTTCCTCGCGTTTACTTGCCAAACCCTTTTAAATCCTTCTACAGAAATGTCACTAGAAATCTAGGGATATGGACATTCGTACAGAGGTAGACTTAGAAACTTGTCCAATAGGACTCAAAAATTTTTTTAAATAATGTGAGATACTTTATTACATTTGTATACATTTCTATGTACTTTATATATATACTTTATATTATGTATTATGTATTTTATGTACTTTATATATTTTTATACTTATACATTTTTAATTACTATGTTTAGTAGTTCATTGTATATTAGGGTAGTTTTCATGTCGATAATGGGTATTTTAGAAATGTGTGTTGTATTTAAAAATGCAGAAACGTCGTAGAGATTTCTTTTTATTTTATTCGCTATCGGCCAGGACAAACGCTTGCAAGCATGAAATGTATAACCTAGAAAGGTATCCAGTCGTAGACAATGATTGGTGTGTCGCAAATGTAGGCTAGATAATGACGTTATCGAAATTGACGCTGACGAGAGAACGAAATTCGTTTAACCAAATAATCTTTCCAAATGCGGGCGTAATTAAGTATAATTAGCTGGAATATCGGTTACCATCGATGTCGTAACAGGCTGTTACCTCAATAGAAACGTAGTCCTCTGACGTTAGACGCGTATGAATCTCGGTACCTTTCTATGGATTTGCATAATTCCGTGATTACTATGGGTCAGGCACATCCTGTGTTTGAAATGTTCGTCGAAGCTCTACGGTCCGCGTGAAATGAAATATTTGGAACAAGAAACGACGTGACGCAAACCGACCACGTCAACAGGAACGACGTGTATGCCTTTAGAATCCCAATCAACTGTTTGCGTCGATGATTTATCCTCCCTCGTTTCCTTCCTCTCGGTTACGCGTGTCTCATTTTCAGATAATCTTACCTGAACAATGATTTCAATTATTTTATACGTATACATGCATATTTAATTAATCGCATATTGTTGTTCGTTACGAAATCTTCGGTTCCTTTTTGGACACCCTGTATGAAGAGGTACAATAACGCCATTAATACTTGGCGTTGAAAATTTCCATGAAAAATGGGTTACAACTTCCTGCTGTTCCTGTTCCCCTCTATAGCACGTTTCGAATCTGTTCAGCGTACAAGACCACGCTCCCCACTCCAGTAAACATCTCAAGCGCCAACTCTCGTGCTTTACGTACTTCATGAACGAAAACGAGCAGTGGAATAAAAATGTGAAAAATAAATAAGCATAGAAAGAGTGAAATAATTAATAACGTATTAATCTTCTAATAACCAATCATAGATGAGCAACAGTGAGCCCACATCGAGTCATTTTTGAAAAAGAAAAAAGAAAAAATTCGAAATCGATTATAAAAATTGTATTATAATTAACCGGAGTTCGTTTTCTCCCATTAAAACTCATCAGAAGGCCATTATAACTGCGTCAGTCGTGTTCACCCAGCATTCGATTAGCACACTACCATGCGCCACATAACCCCTTCCTTCACCAACGTGCACGAACTCCCGTTTTCGCGGTAATCGATCGTTCTCGCCATCGGAAATTTTCGCGAGGGGTGTCTCGTCGGGAATTCAAAAAAGATCGTCCCAGCAAGCATTCGCGCAACCGGTGTAAATCATCGGCGGGGAAAAATGTCACTGACAGGCAGATCGGGTGGGGAGAGATCGGTGGCGCTGGCGCGGGCCACTGCACCAGCGCCACCATGCTCGAGAATCCCGAAGCGCGGCGATCCAGCGATAAATAATTTTCACCGTTCCGCTGTCAAAAGCCCGCCCGTGGGTGTTCGCACGTAAATGATATATATTTATCCCGGCCGATTCGTCGCGGCGATAACAGAGCGTAATCAATAACGCGAGCGACTTAATACGCCGGGAGAAGAAAGTCCCGTGGTGCCTGGGATAACGGGGCTGCTTGTCTCTCCGAGTGATTCGAGATAATTGGTTCGAGTCTTTCCCTTGATTTTTTCCCCTTCCACTCTTGGGGATTTTTTCGCTTTCGTTTCTAGAATTGAAAGTTTAGACGGCGAAGTTGTAAATCTTGCAGTAGGTTTCATCTTTCTTTTTGTTTTATATTTTCTTTTTTCATTTTTGTCGAGTTTACGGGCAGTGTTATTTGCACTAGGGAATTTCGAACGGAGTATCTTCGTATTTAGTGCTTTGTGTCTAATATAGTGGAAGATAATATAGTGGAATGGAAGACATTTTAGATTGCTACCGTGAAGAATAAGGTTACATAACCTCAACTTGAAATTTCATATTTTATCCCGTCTCCTCTGTTAGGTTTATATATGTCTTTTTCATTTTTCTCGTAGACAATCCGAAATGCAACGATATATTTAATACCTTCGTAGCTAATATAAGTTACGTAACCTAAAAATCTTAACAGTTTGCACGAATTACATTACACGAATAATAAAGACCATTTTATATCGACAATGAATGTTAAAGTCCACTGTGATCTCGAAGCTCTTTTACAATGTGTAAAATCACATAACCTCAATACGAAATTTCATATTCTTTTCTAAATTTCATATTCTATCTCTTCCTTACCTTTATGAATGTTACGTGCAGTCTTTGTCACACTTGAAGATACGAAATGCAACGATATATCTAATACCTTCGTAACTAATATAGGTTATGTAAACTAAAAGTCTTAACAGTTTCCATTATACGAACAATAAAGACCATTTTATATTGACAATGAACGTTAAAGTCCACTGTAATCTCGATGCTCTTTCACAATGTGTAAAATCACATAACCTCAATACGAAATTTCATATTATTTTCTAAATTTCACATTCTATCTGTTCCTTACCTTTACGAGTGTTATATACAATCTTTGTCACACTCGAAAATACGGAATTTAATTCCACATCTAATATCTTCGTACCTAATATAGGTTATGTAACCTAAAAATCGAAACAGCTTGCATTACACGAAAGATAAAGACCATTCTACACGAACGGGGAGCATTAAAGTCCACTTTAATCTCGAAGCTGTTTCACAAAATGTAAGATCACATAACCTGTACGCGAAACTTCATTAAACAAAACCACCAGATCCAAACATGGAAGTAACATGTACTCATGCATCATTTCCTCGAATAGTGCCTCGTTTCTCTCCTGTAAAAAGATGGGAAAGAAGTCGAAGGAGGAAGTGTGTGCGTGTTGCTCGTGTCATGGCGGGCGAGAACGAAATTAACAAGCGGTTAAAAGCCGATAAAACTCGAATCCTTCGGAGGGATCTCGCAGTGCCGCGAGCGTGTTTGACGGACGGACAGATAGGGCGCAGTTCTGCTTTCACTTCGCCGCGTTGAAAACCGGCAAAAACGCGGATACCCAAAGGCGAGAGTGGCGGCGCCGGTGAAGCGCGCCATCACCCGGCGGAAACTGGCGTCCATGTCACTTTTGTTTGTGTTATTGAATCGTTTCGTTCGAGCATGTTGTTCGGCTAATTTTTGCGGGATATCGCGCAGGAACATAGGACAGGAAGGAAAGTGCTTTGCTTCGTTTCTCCCTTCTTTTCCTTTTTCCACCACGCCGGCAAACATGGCGCCCAACGCGGCCAGGGGACATTAAAATGTACTTAGCGTCCAATCTGTGTTATGACATTTTCCATGCCGCGGATCGAGAGTAAATATCAGAAAATTGCCGTGCAACTCGCGCGATTTTTTGGTTTTTCTAGTTGTCAGAGAAATAACGTTGCTTTTGAAATATTATAACGGAATGAAATATCATGGAAAAGGTTGGCAACTCGTTCCTGTTGGCGGTTTTCTACGTTTACGAAACGTTGAGGTCGAATGGCGATCGTTGAACGCCAGTCGGATGATAAAATTCGTTAATGTCAGAACACTTAGATAAATTAAGCGTACTCGCAGGAGTGGCGAGAAAAATAGGGATATTTACTTAATCTAGATAGTTTCCAGCCTTTTGTATCTCTTGACATCGCGGTGTAGATTAGAATCTAAATCTGTCCCACGTCGAAGTACATGTTGTAAGAAAACGTGAAATATCAGCAGGTCTGATTACCTCCGCAGTCTAATTAGCCGGAGTACTTCGAGGTCTTTTCCAACGATCGTTCGAGATTCCATAAGAATGACTCGACGTCATCGCGCAGGTTTTCCCATAAAGCCGTACTTGCACCTAATCACTCCCATTTAACTCCGGGGATCTATTAAATACTCTTCTCTTTCCTCGCAGAGATCCTCAATTTCTGAGAAACCAGATATAGTAATCATTTCCAAACGTACCTTTAATTTACATTAAATAAATTAAATTCATTAATTTATTAATTAATTCCTTTTACATTTATTATCATTTAACATTGTTTACCTTTTGTTTATAACTTTATTCTCCCATATTTTGCAATATTTTATATTTATTACAATTTCATATCCTTTACCTTCCACGTTATTTACCCTCTTATTTGCCATGTTCATTTCATGTTCATTACCATTATTTTTCATTATTTTTCATTTATATTATTATTTCTCACATCCTTTGCTTTTCGTATTTATTATTATTTATTCATTTTTATATTTTCAACTTTATCATCGTTATTATTCTTGTGTATACTAACGATTGAAAGTTGTAGAAGTGAGAGATTGACTATTGGGGCTTCACGATGTTACTCTGAATTTAAAATGCAGCTTATCGAATGATTTTTGAAAAATATTTTACTGTTTTTGTGCTCCAGGTTCGAGACTTGGTGGAGAGGTGCACGTGCCCCACGCAGTTCCCAATGATTCGCGTTTCTGAGGGGAAATACCGGATCGGAGACACGAAGGTGTTGATTTTTGTGCGAATTCTTCGAAGCCACGTTATGGTGCGAGTGGGTGGCGGCTGGGACACCCTCAGCCATTATTTGGACAAGCACGACCCGTGCCGATGCAGAACCTGTAAGCGAATCTTTGATACGTCTCCTTTTTCTCCCGTCTTTTCTCCACTTCGTGTCATTTTTGGCGGCGCTAGTCGCGAGACAGATAAAAAATATGGGACGTCGGTGACAGTTTCAACAAGGATGAGCTCATTGTCGTCGAAAATAAAGATGATGATCGGAGACTTTCGATTTTGTTACGAGTTACCTGTTACGAGAGAACGAGCATATTTTCTTTTTGCTCGAAAAATTGCAAAATCATCAGATTTATGCGTGCTAATAAAGACGATTTAACGTGATTTTTCTCTTCGTTCCTTTTTTCAGCTAGGAAACGTAAGATTGATGGGATTTATATTCAATTCGTTGGTTACGTCTCGAATTATGCGCTTGCATTATTAATTTATGATTTTGACGACAAATTTTTTTTTAAATCCCCTTTCAATTATGAAACTTTAATTATATGGCACGGTATTCAAGTACTCTGTTATATTACTTGTTAATTATACACAGAAAATGAGGAAAGAATTTTGTAATTAAATTTTAATTTAAAAAATTGCAGATTAAGTTTTAAAAATTGGAAGAAAATAAAAAATCCTGTTCCTGTTTCTCAGTCATCCTAATATCTCAAAGCATTTAAATAACATTTAATCCTCATTCATACCCACCCATCTCATCCAATTTCTCAATCCTATTTCTAAATTTCATTTAAAAAAATTCTAAGAATTTCTAAGAATTTATGGGTGTATATATATATAGTATTTATTATATTATATTATTATATATATATTTATTACATATATCCTAATACCTCATTCCATTTATATTTCTCAGCCATCCTAATACCTAAAAGCGTCTGAATAACGTTTAACCCTCATTCACACCTGTTTCACCCACTTTTTCAACCATGTTTCTAAATTAAATTTCTAATAATTAGAAAGAAAAATGAAAAGTTCTATTTCTATTTATTAATCATCCGAATACCTAATATAATATATCACCTAATATATCATCCTAATACCTCAAATTTTGTAACTAAATTTTAATTTAAAAAATTTGCGAATTAAATTTAATTTTTAAAAATTAGAAGAAAATAAACTATCCTGTTTCTATGTCTCAGTCATCCTAATACCTCAAAGCGTCTAAATAACTAAATGACTCTCGTTCCTTTCCACCCATCTCATCCAACTTCGCAATCATGCTCGCAGGTACCTGTTAGTACTAAACGACGTTTCAATTACCCTTTAAAGCGTAACTAGCGGAAAACCGGACGAAAATCGCGGATCGTGACCGATTGTGTAATCGCGTGCCAAATGTGACACACACATAGACCCGTGTTTTTCTTAATTCTCTTCATTTTTTATCGCAGCGCATCGCTCGATGATCTCAGCGAAGTTGATTCAAAAGGCTGGAGGGTCGTTCGACCTTGGCAGCGCGCAGGTGCATTACGAAAGGTGAGTAATTTTCTGCTCCTAAGGTGTCATTTGTCTGTCTCCAGTCATTCATTCCGGAGCCGAGATTTTCTGCCGCTTCCTCGGCAAACGACGCTGCTCGACAGATCATATTGTGCTGCTCCAGAGGAGCAGGGAATCCCGGATTTAAGCGCACATAAATAAACACGTTCACCATGAACTGGCTTCGAATTAGTATTAAAAGACAACTCTTTCATTCGCGACCTTCCGCAGCATCCTTTGTCGAGTCTCTGAAACTCTAGATCTTCTCTAACTCCTGTCTCTTCATCTCCTATTGTAGTAGTATAATTCCTTAACACTAATTCTTCGTAGCATAGTAATAAATAAATCAAACAAACCTTGGAATTTTTAATTCGATAGTCACTATCAATTCCATGACTATTCCTAAATTTAGTATCACATCTTCTTTTCATCGGAGTTAGAAACTCTGTTCCAAAATCCACCATTGTCTACGCAATGTCTTCTTCTCACTGACATTCTTCAATCTAGAATAAAATAGAGTAGAATTGATTTTAAAATAAAATCTAGAATAAAAGGAATAAAGTTTTCCAAATACTAAATTAGAGGTTAAGCATAGCGAAGGCGGAAGCCATTTTGTAATGGAGGGGTAGGCAAGGTTTGCGTCGAAGGGCACTAACAAGACCTAGAACAATGGGTTACAAAACTCACCCAAAATTGGCCTCTATCAATCGAGGGAAAAGAAAGCTAAAAATTTCCAAATTTCCAAAATTCCAAAATGAAAAAAGAAAAAAAAACAATAAAATTTATATCGAAGGATAGAATGCCCGGTTAGCATAGTTGCCTGCCCCTAACGTGTGAGAAAAAATCCGGCTGCTGATCCGCAGATCACCTCCTAGAACTCGACGGAGTTCGGCGTCGAGCGTCGGTTCGTGCGCAGGCGCGGTGCAGAACCAGCAGTCGACGCAGCTGCACGCGGCCAGGAGCGTTTCCAACAATCGGTCGCGATCGCCCACGCCCCACCAGCCGATCGGCAAGCAACAGCAACAGCCCGGTGACGAGCCACGGAAGATCAACCGGTCGAGGAGCCCCACGCCTCAGAGGAAGTTCCTGGGCAGCCCTGCTCATCAGTCGGATTTCGGCAAGCAACGATCTAGATCGCCGACCCCGAAGGCTCAGCTCAGGTCCAGCAGTCCTTCGACCAAGCTGGACCACGGCAAGCTTGGGACCAGCGCGGATTCGCCTAGTAGAAGCGTCAACGAGGAGGCCCGTTCGCCGACCTATCATGGAAGGCATCTGGAAGCTAAGGTGAGCAACAGGGACAGGGTGGAGAGGATTAGGTTAGGTGATTTTAGGGTATCGGGGAGGGATGAGTTTCAGGGGTGGAGTTATTTATGGGTATGGGATTGGGATTGGGGGTCGAGGATTTAGGGGATATTGGTAAACGGTGGGGTGAATTTTAGGTGTTTTAAGTTGGGGAATCAGTGATATAGATTGAGGATCAAAAATTGGGAGCCTGTGTGTCCCTTCTTTACTCTGTGTGTTTCAATACTCCGATTGCCGTGTACTTTTTATATGGCACACTCAGGGAGCCGGGATAAAATTTCTGTTATTTTCAAAATATAACGATAAATTATTAAACAATATGGTGAAACGAAAATGGTGCACGTTATTAATATATTCTGTTCAAAGTTCTCTGTTTACTTGCGTTGTTCGAATATTCAGAAATTGGTCAGAATAAAACAAATATACATATTTCTATGTAATCCTCTCCATTTTTCATCACGTTAACACGTTAAACGCCTAGTCTGCTTTGCTTGCTATTCCATTTACCCCCACTTGACAGTCCCAGAACACCGGCTGGGCCCAAACATCGAGTCCATAGGTCAAGGCCCAAACACCGGTCCCTAGGCACCAATATGGCGTTTAACGTGTTAATATACATTCGATAAGTGTCCATCTACGTGTCTAAAAGAATTCCCCAAACTTTCCCCTAGGATGCGAAGAAGGACCTCCACCAAGAGATCCGCACGAAAGTCCCTCTGTCGGAGGAATTCACGAAACGATACGTGGTGGACGGCGGCGTGGCGCGCAGAGCGGTGGACAAAGACGACACTCCGAAGTACGAACCGACGATCTATAACTACAAGTGCCGCGAGGACTCCAGCAGCCGCAGTCCGACGCCCAGTCCACCGGCGATCAAGGAGGAACCGGTCCTGGAGAGTTTCAGCAAAGACGTGATCGGGAACGTGCATTACACCAAGTCCCCGCACGACGGCGAGCACTCCGACAACTGCAGCGAAGTGTCCGACGAAGGTTACCGAAGTCTCGGAGCAGTGCAGCCAACCACCGGCAACGGAAATCCCGGGACGTGCACGCAAGGATCGCCCACGGTTGCCGATTGTCAAAGTGAGCACGATTCTCTTTCTCTTTCTCTTTCGCTTCCTCGCGTTCGGCTATTTTAGACCCCGCGAGTGTTTTTTTCGGCGCGCGATCGCGCGGGGATTTATGGGCCGTCCAGGCCGCGTGGGTTGGCACGCCTGTTACGCGAACGCCGTGTTGTAATATGTCGGCCGGGTCGAGGCTGTCGCGGGAATTCGTGAACGGCGAAAGTTAGTGTCTCGATCGTTAGATTCCTTTTTCGAGTGTTAGGTTAGGTTAGAGTGTTCTTGAAAGTTGGGCATTTTTTGACGAATGATCTGTCTTTGGTTTGGTCTTACGGTTATAGTTCTTATGATGACTTGTTTGGGAGTTTAGAGGAGATGGAAATGAGGCTTGAAGATCGGAGAACGTTTCCTTTATGCTTTTTCTCTTTGACTATCATAATACAGGAGAGGGACAAAGAGGTTAGTATGGCTGGAGAAAAAGGTGGTGTCGTAATCGAGTACCGGGGTACATAGAAAGTTGTGGCAACGAAGTTTCTGGATTTGTATAGCATTTTTCTGTGAAGGACTGTCCTCTTTGATAGGATAGACCCTGGTGTGGCGTAAGTTCGGGGGTATTTCTCTAGCTGTAAAAGTTCGTAGAAATAGTCGAGAGGCTCGATGAGGTTTTGATGGCGGAGACGGAGATGGTGCAGTTCGCGAAGTTGTAGTGGTGGGGGGAGTGCCCTTGAGAGCCAAGCAATTTCGAACGAACTCTACTCCACTAAACGTTATAGAAACTTGCAGAAAGCTGTTAACCTTACACGTCGAAGGACCATTGGTGTTTTCTAAAGACACTAATTCGTCCATATTTTTATAACAAACAAATACCCTGTTATAATAATATTTATATAATTTATTACTGGTAAAAAGAATACATTTTTATTGATATCTTTTTTAGATTCTTTTATTTTCCAATTTTTCAAAATTGTTCTTGTTTCTTGATCACTTTTTAATCTTTTATACCCTTCTAATTACAGCCCTTATGTAATATATATTTTTATTGATATTTTTTCAAATTCTTTTATTTTCCAATTTTTTAATATGGTCCTTGTTTCTTGATCATTTCTTAATCTTTTGTACACTTGCAATTATACTCTTTACATAATATATATTTTTATTGATATTTCTTTAGATTCTTTTATTTCCTAATTTTTCAAAATTGCCCTTATTTCTTGTCATCATTTTAATCTTTTATAGCCTTGTAATTATAGCCTGTATGCAATATTCTTTTATTTTCACAACAAATAAATATGCTCTTATAATAATATACGTATAATTTATTATTGGAAAAAGATATTCATTTTTATTCGTATCTTTTTTAAATTCTTTTTCTTGCCAATGTTTCAAAATCGTTCTTTTCTTTCCATCATTTTTGTCATCCATCGATTTTTGGATTTTTCCCGTACTGTATGCAATAATCTTTCAATTCTTTGAATATTTGGTCTTTTAATTGAAGGCAGTGATAGACTGTGAACAGCGTGTGGGTGTAGATGCTTGTAAAAGCTGTTCTTGAATGCCAAATGACAACGTCAGGTAACAAGACGATAGGGAAAAGAAAGCGTTGGCTAAATAGACTCGTTTAGCGTACAGGTCGTTTCATAACAGGGCGCCGAGTGAAATCGTTCGACGATCGTGATAAACGCGTCCCGCTGCGAAGAAAACGCGCGACGCTCGCGTGGCTTTTCGATCAAAGCCAGTCATTCTGTTTAATACGAGCGTATCAGGGATGGACGAACAGAACGTGCTATTGTACGCATGTCCTCCTGTGTTTCAGCTTTCTCGACTTCCCGATATTTTACATATTTTTTTCTTTAATTCGCTTTCTAGTGTGACACACATTGCAGGTTACATAAATTCCGTATGAAAAATTAAAATAGTTGCACGGAATTTTTGTTTCAAAATTTCCGATCGAATTTAGACAAATTTGATTTTCTATTAATTATTTAACTAGGGATGAAATTAAACGCGACTATTTCTCTTTATTTTTCTGGCTTTCCACGATGACCATTCGCGAAAATTCGAAGTGTAGAGTTGTAAAACGAGACTTTGGAATTTAATAGCGTGGAAGAAGTGTTTATCTGGGGTCTTTTATCTGAGATTGCCAGGTCTGACAGCAGGGATTTAATTCGCGTCGCGATACTGTCCCAGCCTCTCAGCTCTTTTGTACACAACAGCGTGTGGAATTGCCTCGTGTGCTCGTTTTCATCGCGTTTTGTCCCATCAGGGTACTGCTCTCTATCGTATACTTCTACATCTTCATTTAGGAGAAGAGTCCAGTAGAGAATTTCGGCGAAAAATTGGCCAAGATACGGACACGACTTCTCACTTGTACAAAAATTGCTATCTTTCCTTTGGGGTTGCCGATTACGAGATTAATATTTAAAGTTAGATTAGAAAGTTCGTAAAGGATCTGCCTTTACGATGCAATTATAAAAGTTCATAAAACAGTCGCAGAAATTGAGTAATTTGTTCATTTTCCAAGGAAAATTCAAATTACATCGCTCAGCGCCATCTATGATTTTTGGCTGGAAGCTTGTGTTACGGTTCCTAATATAAAATTCTAGAAATGTCAGTCAGCGCCATCTATAGTTTTGGGCTGGAAACTTGTGCATCGTTAACGCCATCTATGGGTTTCGACTGTAACACAAACTTCCAGTCCAAAATCATAGATGGCGCTGATTGACATTTCATTTCCAAGAATTCAGGAAACAATACTTTTGCGACCTCGGCGAAAATTTTTTGGCCAATTTCGCGACTTTGTATCAGGATAACATAACATGACAGGAGGTCGTTCAACGATCGATTCCAAGAAATTACGTCATTTCCAAGAATTATTTTTGACAATACTTTTGCGGTTCGGCGAAAAATTTTAGACTGATTTTACGGTTTTGTATGAGGCTAACATGACATGACAGGAGGTCCATGATCGACTGAATTTCAAGAAATGGCGTCATATTTTGATAATTCTAGGGAATGAAATTTTGCAGACTTTACATGAATATTACACAAGATACATAGTTCTCTCATTGCTGGAATCTCTCATTATTATACTTACCTTACTTACCTTACTTACCTTAATTCGTCTTAATTTGCATATTTCTTCAACAAATATTGCCCACTCTTATTTTTCAAAGTTCCTTTAGGAACTTTGAAAATTTACAAGTGATAGAACATATCTTAAACTTATTACTAAATCACTGCTGATTTACACATAACCTATAATTAACATATAAGTAATTAATGACTAACTTATAATTAACTTATACGTAATTAACGTCTAATTTATAATTATCTTATAACTAATTAATGACTAATTTTATATTAATTGGTAACTAAATAATAACTAACTTATAACTAATTTACGACTAGCTTGCGTAGCTCTTAGCTTGGTATCGGAGAACGATACCAATTACCAGGTCTCACCACGTGGAGGTGGCTACGCATCGAGACCCGACATGCGCCCTAGTGGCGCAGCCTGCTGGCGCTATCCGTATCAAAGATATCCTAATCTAACTTGGAGCGAATTAAGTTAAAATGACTCTACTGACACTTTATTATATTTCGTGTCTTACAAAAGGGGTTTCGGTTCGGTATACTGAAACTCTACTGTCGCAACGCTAAGATATTTTCAAGTTTCCATAAAAATAGGGAATGAAATATCAAACACGCGAGCAAATAGAAAATCGCGACGCGCCCGAACGAGATCGCGATTATTCGAAAGACCGACTAGCCTAGGCGATGTACTCCCGTGTACAGAGATAACTTCATACCTCGGCACCCTCCCGATCGGGCCTAGCTCAATTCCAGTCACTGTCGCACTCGCCAAGACTTACACGTGGACCAAGGATAGTCCCTGAACCAATGAAACTTCTAGTGTCAACGCGAGGGCCCTGCTGGGCGGTTGCCGGCCAAGACAGACACTTCGCATCCCAGCCACACGGGGTAGAACTTAATCATCCCTGTGGTCTAACCGTAGATGGTACTAGTCCGTCAGCCAGCATGTGCCCGAGCCCCAGTCGCGTACGACTTAGGCAGCGGACCGCCCCGTCGAGGTCAGAAGACGCACTGATCCGAGGGGGTCACCCTGGAACCCGATGCATGACGAGATTGACAGTGACTGGAAATGAGTGTCGGAGACGAGTCGTGAGGATGACTTACGAAGCATGTACTTATCGAGTACACGAGAGCACGTCGCGTAGGCTAGTCGGTACTTACGAACGATCGCGATTATCGCGAGAACAATTATGTTCTATTTGCTAAACGAGGGGGATAAGAAAATGATAGAGAATTTATAAATTTCGCTCCAAATTAGGTAGCTTACCTTTGTACAGATAGCGCGCACATGATACTTAGTCTATGGATCTATCTTATGATTACTTAAAAGTAAACGCACGCATCGTTCATTGATGTGTCGCAAACAGAATCTTGAGAAACCTAAAAGCTAAAACAGAATATATTATTGTTAATATGTAGCTGAAAGGAAAGGGATTAGTACGAGGAAACCATCAAGGATAATAACCAAATGGAACGAGCAAGCCAACGACGAGACCTGAGCAACATAACTACGAGACAGAAACATTCCAACGGTGAGATATAAACATACCAACGAGGAAGCGCTCGAGTATTATACGAAATACTCGAACGCTCTAACGAAAACAAATCGAACGGAAGTCGTAAAATTTGTGAAAGGAAAGATTTAGCCAACGATGAGACATAAGTAAACCAACGACGAAGCATTCGAATATTGTACGAAATACTCGAATGCTGAAACAAAGAGATAAATAGAATGAAAGAAATAAAATCTGGAAGAAGAAAAATAATTAGAACCTGAAAGAAGAAATTATCGTTAAATTATTTAAGAGAGTGGACAATGGCCACTGAATAACCCAACGACGAAGCATTCGAATACATATTGTACAAAATACTCGAATGCACAAACAATGAAATCTAGAATAAAAGAAATATAATCTGAAAGAAGAAAGAGAATTATAATCTGAAACAAAAAATAATTAGTACCTGAAAGAAAAAGTATTAACGCGGACCTTCCGAAGTCGAACCTACAACTGGCTCGAGCCTTCACGCGAGCCCCTTATATAGCGACGGCCGGCCGAAGATCGGCGAAAAATTCCGAACTTTACCGATTCCTTTAAAAGTTACTTTTCCGCTGTAATAACTAATAATTTATTAACTTTTTTGACTTTTATCGTTAATATACGTTGCAAACTATTTGTTATCAATGATTTTAATTTGTTATCAACAATAAATTTATTAATTTATTAGTTTTTTGTAAGTTACGAATACATTTTAACACAAATACATTGTTTGTTTAAGTAGTAGCTAATAATTTATTAACTTTTTTACTTTTATCGTTAATATACGTTGCAAACTATTTGTTATCAATGATTTTGATTTATTATTAACAATAAATTTAATAATTTATTAACTTTTTTAAGTTACGAATACATTCTAACACAAATACGTCGTTTGTTTAAGTAGTAGCTAATAATTTATAAACTTTTTTTACTTTTATCGTTAATATACGTTGCAAAATATTTGTTATTAACAATAAATGTAGCAATTTATTAACTCTTTGTTAATTATAGATACATTTTCACGCAAATACGTTATATATACTAGTAACAGCCTATAATTTAATAATTTTTCCACTTGTGTTATAAATTTACGTTATGACCAATTTATTATTAGAAATAAGTGTAATAATTTTTACACTTTTGCAAATTATAGGCACATTTAAACATTAGTATGATATTGTTCAAGTAATAACCAATGAATTAATTCTTTTCTTGTGCTAGAAATTTACGCTATGAACAATTTATTATTAATAAGAAATTGGATTATTTATACATTTTTATGAACTATAACTGTATTAGAATGACGTCATTGCCAAGAATTCCGCCCACTTACCCCTCGTAGCCTCAAAAATCGTCAAATGTTTAACTGAAACATCGAAAACTTACAAAAGGTAGGAAATATTTTAAATTTTGTGCGTAGCTCAAAGCTTGGTATCGTTCCAAACAAAATTCTTTTGGAAAGGACACCAATTACCAGGTCTCACCACGTGGAGGTGGCTACGCATCGAGACCCGACATGTGCCCTAGTGGCACAGCCTGCTGGCGCTCTCCGTATCAAAGATATCCTAACCTAACTTGGAGCGAAAGAAGTTAAGTGACTCTACAGACACTTTATTAAATTTCGTGTCTTACAAAAGGGGTTTCGGTTCGCGATTATTTGAAAGACCGACTAGCCTACGCGACGCACTCCCGTGTACAAGACAACTTCGTGCCTCAGCACCCTCCCGATCGGGCCTTGCCCACCCTGCCACCGCCGACCTCGCCATGGCCTACTCGATGATCTAAGGCAGCCAGCGAACCAGTGAAACACCCAGAGACAATCCGAGGGTCCTATGCGAGGCCTAACAGTCGGAATCACGCGCATGCTCCATACCCCGGCTCTATGCAAACATAACCACATAGCCACCAAGTGCTAGAGGAGCAGGCAGGCACGCTCTTGCAATGATTCCGACTGCAGGGCCCATCCCCCGATCGTGTGCACGGATTGGCACCCAGGACGACTAAAGTCGACGGACCCCCGTATTACTCCAGATGCCTCACAAACAGACAAATGAATTCTGCCGCGTCGCGTCGCCCTTTTATATAACCTCCGATTGGCCGAGCTTGCCCACCCCAATCGAAAATTTTCGAACTTTTATATTTCCATTAATTATTATTTTCCCGCTCTAATAGCCAATCATTTAATAATTTTTTTACCGTTATGAAAATTTTACGTTGCAAACAATTTGTTATTAACAATAGGTGTAATAATTTTTAAACTGCTTGCAAATAACATAAACGTTATCAAACCGAAACAATCCTCCGCACAAATCTTAAATACACGTAGTATTTTCTGTTCTCTGTTCTAGTAACTTGAACAAGAAAAAAGTCACTAGAAAAATACCCTAGCATTATACACATACACAAATATCCGTTTAGCGAAAAACCTGCCCGAATAAATACATACCATAGTCGTGATGTCAACGAACCAATTCGATCAATCTTATTCTAACCTAACTTTTTTACGAAAAGCATTTTTCCGCCTGAAAGGAGAAAAATAAATTCAATTTCCATATAGAAATAACAAAGCTAGGGCAGCAGTGGTACGCGGAAACCGTTGTCCCGAGTGGAAAGATCAGAGTATGTGTCAAGTGTGTGAATCACTATATTCGAGGCAAAGCGTTATCGAGGATCGACCACTGGCGATTGTTCCGTGGACAGGTTGTTGTTGAAGATCGCCCACGCTTCACGCACACGAGCATCCCTTTCTTCGTACGATCCTTCACAGCCAGTTAAATGTCAGGTTAGGCGTATGTGTTCGTGTACTTTGAATATTAATGAGCTACAGGGTGGTCCAAAATAAGGTGGATGGTTAGTAGAGACGTTTGTAAGAGGAGCTCTCGATTACGCTAGGTATTATAGGCATGTTGTTTACGTTAGACTCGTGATAGGTGTACAGTTGCTGCGATCAACTTGCGCAAAGGAATCCATTTTCTTTTCGAACGCGACTGGGGTGAAAGAGGTTAGGTGGAACTGACTTTGACGGAGCAAGTAGCTGTAGAACGCTCGAAATTGCTTTGGAAGAATATAGGAAAGATAAATGGCGAACATAAAATATTTAAGGTTAGAAAATTGAAACATTTCGAAATCGGAAAATTAGAAAATTAAAAAATTGGCGAATTAGAAAACTGGGATATTTGGAAAGTTAAAAGTAGATTAAAAAATTTGAATGTTCCAATATTTGACAATTTTTTAACATGTTTTGTGCCACATCGGTCCCCAGGGACCGACGCTAGGCTTTCCGTTCGAGCCCAATCGGTCCCCAGGAACAGACCCAGACTAGGACCAAAAGGTGCTCACTTTTGGTCGTAAATTCTTCGCCATCTTTGGACCGAACGTTTGGAAATTCCTATTGTAACAATTGGTACAGTATCTCCGAGTTTTATGCTCTCTTTGCTCGCCACCAGTGGCCCACTTGACGATCGAATTTGGGCCTGAACTGAACGGCAACCAATCGGGTTAGGCACTTAACGTGTTAACCTAAAAATTCGAGATATTTTAAACATTTTTAAATTCGAAATTCTTGAAAATTTTTAAAGCAGAACTCTCGAGCTGTCACAAGCTTCCGAGGATTTACAATATTGCGAATTTAACTTGTCTCCTCAGTAAACTAAAATTTCCAAAAAAAAGTATGCCAATTATATTGGACGGTGTCCATGTCGCAGAAAAACTTTTCTCCGAAATAGCATTTGCAAAGATCGTTTTTGGCATGGCATCGGAGATTCCACGGTCCATTAAGACACGTTTCTCGACTCCTTCGAACTGGTCCTCGCGATTTAAAACACATTTATATGCCTCTAATTGGCTAACTTCCACTAATAACTTTTTTACGTCCAATAAAATCACAATGTAATCGTTTTGCGCATCTCCTGGGACACGTACGACTCAATGGTTTCATCTGTTACTGCTGAAATGATGCAACTGTAATTCCTACGATTAAAATTAAGTAGTCAGTCATTCCGCAAAAGGGAATCGTAAAGATAAGAAAGTGGCGAATAAAATTTACGTTTAAGCGCTTTCGTTTTCGAGGAATCTCATATTGACATATTATGCAAGGCTATAAATGAAGATTTTTAACTAATTGGTTGAATTTTTTTTTTTTATAACTCGTATAAAATTTTATAGTCTTTCAAAATCGTCTTCCTATACGATAGAAATACAAAAATACGTAAATTAAATTTTTTATTTCATTCCGGGATGAAATATTAAGAAAAATAATAATAAATTTTCAGTTACGGAATGTTCAAAATTTTACTTGAGAAATAAATATCTCACGTAACGAGATTGTTTCGTCAGTTTCCATCGATTTCACGTGTCGAATAAATATCACTAGACGAGGTTAATTATCCAAAAAAATCGGCGAAATGTCAATGGGTCGCTGGAAGGATTGAAAGCGTGACGTAAAGAAGTCAAACGCGATTATCACGATCGTATATATTCGGCCAGTTGCCCACGCAGTGCTATTCGACCATCGCCGAATCCTAAATCCCGTCGAAATCCACTCGAGTTTGCTTGAGTAAACAACGAGGGAGCTGGTGACGCTCTCTGGTTGACATTTGCACGCGATTGCACGCGGAAACTACGCGATTCGTGGTTATGCAATCGCGATTGCGTACACCGATCGAATTGATCGAATTATTTATGCTTTTCGGTCGAAGATTTACGAAGAAAACATGCTCGATCTTACTCCGAAGAATAAAAATATACCAAAAACAGGGAATTTTTGAGAAACCTGATTCGCCGAAATATCAACCGATTACCATGACGAAAAAATGTCGATACAAATCGATAAAAATCGATAAAAATGGATATTGGTTGCCCACAAAGCACTGCAATTACCGATATTACACGATTAAAATGCTTGTTGTCATTTCAAGTAAACACACTGTGTATCAAAAACCTAACTTTACATACCTAATCAGTTTTCAAATTTATGGTGATCCATAAAGGTTGAGAAACACTGGTCTATGTCTATTCATTTTCTTTCTTTTATGTTTTCCAATAAATCTCAGGAATCGTTCCCAAATATTCCGCAAAAATCGAGTATCCTTAATCGCAGCAATTCTCCCATATTGATTCCCGAACTAAGAACTAAAGGCCATTTCCCAACGCCTGTTGCAGAGCAACCCGCCAAACCCGAGCCAGAGGAGAGGTCTTGCGTGGAAACGGAGAGCATCGAGACAGGCCTGCGCAAGACACGCATAGGCCCAGCCAGTCCTCTTCGCGCTTCGCCTTCGAGAAGCCTGGCCTCCTCCTCCGGGGACCGGACCCCTCGTGCAGGTTCCATCGTCCGCGAGAACAGCAACGTGTCCAGAGCCTCTTCCGGCAGCAGAACCCCCAGAGACAGCAACTCCAGCCCGGAAGGTAGCCCGCTGAAGCGAGGAACCATCAGGAACAGTCTGCGCAAACCACCGACAGGCAGTCTGAGCAAGGCATCGATGGTAGCCAAGACCTGTCAGAGTCCAGTGAGTGGTAGTAACACGTGGAACGGTAGACAGGCCAGGCAGAGGCCCAGTATCCAGTCCGATACCTTCCTGAACCCGCAAGGATCGGCCACTTGTGCAACCACTCCTAGTTTCACCAGGAAGAGTCCAGCCAGGCAGAGTCTGCCTAGGCAGAGTACGAATGGTATCCAATACGACAGGAATGGCAGAAGGATCAAGACAGCCACTGGGTCCCTTCAGTCCTCGCCTACCAAGGTAGCCAATCCGCTGTTGGAACAGATCCTTCAGAAAGTGGGCCACTTGCAGGACGAGCGCGAAGTGGTCCAGAAGCTTCAGGATCTGCTGAGGGACTACCAAGCTCATGGTACCGGCGATGGTGTCGCGAATATGGAGTTCACCAGGGCATGGATCGACGGTAACGGGACCGTGGCGTTGCCCCAGGACAATCAGATGACGGCCAGTCCTAGGAAGGATCCCAAGCCGGTCTCGGAGAGGGGAGGTTTCTCCAGGATACCAGCGCCAGTCTACAAGAGGCCTATGTCCGTGGCGTCCGACAGCGTGTGAAGCTTCTCGCCGCTGTCGAGCAACGTCCGGAGGACGACGTCGATGATGATGCTGGTTCGGAACGTGTCCTCGAGGTCATCGGACTCCTCGATCGCGGACAGGCTGGACTTTGCGGAGCCTCGCGAGTGCTCGTCTCTTCCTTGCTCGTGACGCCCTCGATTTTAGAGATTCTATGCCGATTACGTGCTCACGTGGACACGTGGAGCTTGTGTGGAAAGGTGGGAGGGCGATGGTAACCGAGTGTCCAGGTGGGGGTGAAGGAATGAGGTTAGGGAGGTTCCGATTTTAAATACTTTCTCAAGGCGTGTTTCTATGGTGCTTGAAGGATATCCTTTCTTTTGGAACGTAGTGTAAATATTAGAATCGTGTTTAGGAATTTTGGAAAACACTGTCCCCTGTTCTCGCTCATGTTAGAGGAACTTTCCCATTCTCTTTTCTTTTTCCAAGGGGACAAAAAGGAGTTGGAAGGTGGATTCATTCCTTCATGCCCAAAAGCGATACTCTGACGAATGGTTACCATTGCTCCAAGAATCCTGGCGAAAGTAGAAATGATAGGTCCATCGTGCTTAAGTGGTACTGGCGAAATTTCTCGGTCCAAGCTTCCACGGTTCTTAAAAGCTGAGGATCCACCTCTCCACGTGTCTTGTGACAGCAGATCGAAGGCGTCCGATTAGAGGAGAGCTTAACGGGCCTTAACGGTACGGGGTCGATCAGTTAGCTCGTAGGAGTCACGTGTATATCGGGGTGGTGCTTGGATGGTGCTGAACGAGATGACGTTCGTGATGCAAATAAGATTATATAAGGTGACCAAAAGTTAAAACGAAAAAAATTTACAAAAGAGAGAAAAAAGGAGAAAAAAAAGAGAAGGGAGAGGAAGGGAAGAGTGGAAGAGGAAGAGGGAGGCGAAGAGGGAGACGAAGGAAGGTAGGTAGACGAGAGACATGTCTCGTGGACGAAGAACAACGATTTCGATTGACGAACAGACGGAATTCAAGCGAGCAATTAGCTGGTGTGCGGCTCTTGCGTTAATGGCTTCCCGATCGATTTGCTTCCAGTCAGTTAATTGCACCCCGGCTGACAGCTCGTCGATTGATCCGAGACGAGAGATTACACCTTGCACCGTGGACACACGCGACGCGATCTCTCGTTCTTGTCGTGATACTTTTTCCTCGTCACTTGTGATCGATAACTGGTTGCCTTTCTTCCCCCTCTCCCCTTTTTTTATCGGATTCTTTTATCGCGAACATGCCAGGGATTCCTTCGCCGAAGAGTTATGGGGGAGCACGGATCAATGACTCGGAAAAGATTCGGACGCCCGTAGGAGTATCTTTCCTGCGCGGATTTGCTAAGCGTAGAGGTTAGGTTTTTATACACGGTTTTTTACCACGTTGGAATTTAGCATAATCGATATATTTTAGCGAGACGATGATATTTGTAAGCGTGAAGTTCCATCGAAGTTTCTACATTCTCATGTCTAACCTGAAATACGAAGGAGCCAGAGATCGATCATAGGTTATGTCGGAACTGTAGCGACGCAAGGAACAATCGCGACATCTCGCGGCCATTTTCTTAAGCTTAGCGTGTACGACAGGTCGACGAGCGTACATCGCGATCCCTCGATGATCGAACGGTGCAGAGAAAATGGATCATCGAGCGATCGACGAGAAGATCTCGGGTTTCGCAGTCAGAATTTCTACGTTCGATCGTTCATCACGGCCGCCGGGCCGGCGAGAAATTATTTATTTATATAGTCTATCGGTTGTATTTATTGAAGACGATTTATTTACGCGTTGCGAGTTCGCTTGAGGGAGGTTGATAAACGAGGAGGGAAATGTGGAGTCTCGGAGAAGGTGGCAGGTTAAAGGAGGAGTGGAGGAAATGGAGATCTGACGGAGTTTCTTCGCGAGAAAAATCAAATTCACCCTAAAAACAGACTGCATTATTGTAGATAGCGACGTGTCGTCGAACAAAACGCCATTCCAATGTTTCACTGTTTTTTATACCAAACGCGAGCGTAGCGGCATTTTGTATCAAGTGTCTTGAGGGAATGGCGGCGCCTGGGCGGGGCGTGTCCCGATTTTCGCGTGTCGGCTTCATGGAAACTAGAGAAATAGAGAATTCGAAAAACTTTGCATAGAAACTGTAGATAGCGAACTGCTGCATAATCGAGAGACTCGCGAGTCACTTACACGTTGCTCCGTAGTATTTCATTAGTGCGAGTGAGAGCACCTGGTGCAGCTCTGTTGGAAAATCGAAGAGATTTTAGGTTATGTTCGGTTTTCAAGAGTCTCTCAATTTCTCGCTCTAAAATTCTAATTCTGTATCTTCGAAGAAAATTAAAGAAATTTGAAACAGATACGAGGAGAAAGATGCTTGTTCACCAGGTGCAGTTCTAATGGAAGATCAAGGCGATTTTAGGTTATGTTTGGTTTTTAAAAGTCTAATTTCTCTCTCCGTATCAGGTTCAGGAAATTAGATGAACTTCTTCCAAGTTCCAATCCTAACCTCAAAATGTCTAACTCCAAAGTTCTAATTCTGTATCTTGGAAGGAAATTAAAGAAATTTGAAACAGATACGAGGAGATTTTAGGTTATGTTTGGTTTTCAAAAGTCTAATTTCTCTCTCCGTATCAGGTTCAGGAAATTAGATGAACTTCTTCCAAGTTCCAATCCTAACCTCAAAATGTCTAACTCCAAAGTTCTAATTCTGTATCTTGGAAGGAAATTAAAGAAATTTGAAACAGATACGAGGAGATTTTAGGTTATGTTTGGTTTTCAAAAGTCTAATTTCTCTCTCCGTATCAGGTTCAGGAAATTAGATGAACTTCTTCCAAGTTCCAATCCTAACCTCAAAATGTCTAACTCCAAAGTTCTAATTCTGTATCTTGGAAGGAAATTAAAGAAATTTGAAACAGATACGAGGAGATTTTAGGTTATGTTTGGTTTTCAAAAGTCTAATTTCTCTCTCCGTATCAGGTTCAGGAAATTAGATGAACTTCTTCCAAGTTCCAATCCTAACCTCAAAATGTCTAACTCCAAAGTTCTAATTCTGTATCTTGGAAGGAAATTAAAGAAATTTGAAACAGATACGAGGAGATTTTAGGTTATGTTTGGTTTTCAAAAGTCTAATTTCTCTCTCCGTATCAGGTTCAGGAAATTAGATGAACTTCTTCCAAGTTCCAATCCTAACCTCAAAATGTCTAACTCCAAAGTTCTAATTCTGTATCTTGGAAGGAAATTAAAGAAATTTGAAACAGATACGAGGAGATTTTAGGTTATGTTTGGTTTTCAAAAGTCTAATTTCTCTCTCCGTATCAGGTTCAGGAAATTAGATGAACTTCTTCCAAGTTCCAATCCTAACCTCAAAATGTCTAACTCCAAAGTTCTAATTCTGTATCTTGGAAGGAAATTAAAGAAATTTGAAACAGATACGAGGAGATTTTAGGTTATGTTTGGTTTTCAAAAGTCTAATTTCTCTCTCCGTATCAGGTTCAGGAAATTAGATGAACTTCTTCCAAGTTCCAATCCTAACCTCAAAATGTCTAACTCTGAAATTTTAATTTTGTATCTTTGAAGAAAATAAAAGAAATTTGAAACAGATGTTCGTTCACCATTGAAATCGTCGGAACATTAGGGGCTATCTAAAAGACAAAATGAAGGAAGGTAATTGAAATCCTTTAGAAGCAAGACGCGCGAACGAAAGGTAGCAAACTGAAGGTAGTAGAGGCTGAAAGTATCGAGCGAATATTTTTTATAATTACCTAGTAGAGAATCACGTCCTTGCGGCCTAAGGTCGGCCTCTCGAAGTTTTTCGAAGTTTCGTTTCCACTCGAAGTATCCTCGGACGACAACGTCCCGCCATGGGAACCCCATACCCCGCTGATTACGAATTAAGAGGTACACTTCCAGCAGGAAGGCAGAGAAGTTTATTTTGTTGACTAGATGTTCGAGTAGAGATTGTAACGCGAAACGTGCTCGAAACAGAAAAAGAAAAAAGAAAAAAAAGAAAGAATAAGAATAATGGAATTATTTTTTAGTGAGGCGCGTTAGGTGCGTTTCCGGAAGTTGCTGTGGCCTCTGTGACGTTGATCGATGCGTGGATTATTTTTTTTCTTTTTCTTTGTATTCTTAGAAAACTAATTTTGTTTTATTTTATTTTATTTCATTTCACTTTTATAATTTTTTTTAATTATTTGTTGTTTGAGAAAAAAGTGGTTTGAGGTTATGTTCACTTCGTATCGGGTGTTTCACGAGCGCTGAATCAAATGTGCGCACACCTGACGAGCTTATAAAATTGATTCATTTGTCGTACAAAATAATCCTACTACTTTTTGTTTTTGGTTACTTTTTTATGTGTTATGAAACACCCTGTAGAGTTTGAGAACGGTATTTCCAATCAAAAGAATATGCTTTGTTTTAGTTGAAAGTTGATTTGAAAATTTGGGAAGCTGAGGGTTACGCGAATTTATCTTTTTGTTTTTTTTTTTTTTAATTTTAATTTTTGAGTAATTAAAATCAATTACTCTTCTAGAAGTATGTGACTGAAGACGTTCTTTAAACCACACGATAATATCATATAAAAATTTTATTGTTTTTTGGATTTTTCTTTTTTTATAACGCATGCCAAAGATATACGTACTTCACTATAATAAAAGTTCAAGATAAGTCAGAAGCTTATCTGAAAAGTGGTTATTAAAAAACGTCTTCAAGTATAAACAATAATAATCGATACTTAAAGAAAATATTTTAATTTCTTTCATTGAACATTATCTTGAAGAAAAGAAAAAAAAAAAGAAAAATACAATTTTCTTACAAAAATGAGAAAAAAATGTTCAAAAAAAGACAAAAAATTACTCGTCCAAAGTACACGAATGTTTCCCGTCCAAAGGATTACGGTGAAAAATCAGCCATATTGTATTCGACGAAACGCCATTTTCTCGATCAACGCAAAGAACAATCGTTCATGTAAAAAAAAATAAATAAATAAATAAAAATAAAAAAGAAATAGAGGTCATAGCACATTTCGAAAAGCACATTGCAAAATTGCTCGTAGATTTTCAAGTCTCGGGGGTGGAACACCCTTTCGTGTTTTTAAGCCTAAGCTTCATAACCCCAAGCAGCTGCGGTTTTGCCGCGATGACGAGAATAAATACCGATGATTACCAATATTAATATCATTGCTGCAATAATTGCAAACTATCGCTATTATTCTGATTACGAATGATCATTACTATTATTGCGATGATTATTATTATTACGATTATTATTATCATTATTGTCACAGAATACGATGATAATGATTGATTATTATGATTATTATACGCAACGTTGAGTATGTTATGTTATATCATTTTATCTACGAGAAGTTGTAAATTGAGAGAAAACTTGCATTAAAAAAAAAGGAAAAAAAAATAATAAAAAGCTTTAACGAAAAGATCGTATGGTTGATTTCATTTTAACAAAAACGAATCCCCGAAATAGCCTTCCAAAATATTCCACGAAAATCCACGTTAATTATCCCACGGGACGTTACTCAAAAGAAGAAATAATATTGCGAAAATGGTGTCTCAAGGATTCTCGAAACGTGCTTATAATATAATTATAGAGATTAAGTATAGGAAATAATCCCTCATCCACCATTTTCTTTCCTTTCCGCTCGCTAGATCGATACCTAACCTCTAAAACCCAAGGACAATAACAACAACGGATAATTCATTACGCCTTTTATACGAGGCGAGCCTTTGTTGCAAATAATTGAAAATGGCGGAGCAATTAGGCCTAAAAACTTCATCACCGTTCACCACCCTTGGCACAGAACCTTCCCGCAGCCTCTAAGCGCAGGTAAACACGCGCGTAAGGCCCGTTACGAGGCCCAAT